AGTGGAAAGGCCAGGTGAGGCCACAGTGAGAGGGGCCATCTGCAAGCCAAGGAACAAAGCCTCAGGAGAAACCAGTCCTGTTGACATCTTGCTCTTGGACTTCCAGCCTCCAGAACTGTGAGAAAGTAAGGTTTTATTGTTAAGCTACCCAGTCTTAACAAATGAACACCAGAATACTTAGATATGGGGCATGCCCCCTGCCATCAACACCATGACAGTTAAGGGAGACATCAGTGGAACATAATAGATGAACTTTTACTATCCAGAAGGGTCCTTAACAGAAGCTGAAGATTAGCTGGAGAAAAGGTTTTTCTGAGAGTAAAAGGAAAGTCAAATAGTGACTTATAATGATCAAACTGGTGACAGATACCAACTAGGGTTTGTTTTTGTTTTTGTTTTTTTGCTATATAATGTACCTGATAGTAATGTACTTATGATTATTATCCAACAATTGCTAATTTTCCCTTATTTTGTTAGCTAACAATTGATGAAATATTTCATTGGCTAGAGTACTGGTCAACAGTGTGGGCTTCTGCCAGCTTGCCTAGGTTTGAATCTTGTCCCACAACTTCCTAGGTGTGTGATTTTCGGTAAACAATCACCTTGTGCCTCAGTCTCTTCATCTGCAAAATGGAGAAAATAGTACCTAATTCCTCAGGTTATGTAAGAATTAAATGAGTTAATACATGCAAGGTGCCTAGAAGGACGCCTGGCATATAGTAAACACCTAGTAAATGTTAGCTATTTCAATTTTAACCTATCTCTGCACAAGAATAGCAGATAGCAAAACCATTGTACCTACATTGTTTCACCAAGATACCTGCCAGCAGATGCCAGCTGCCACTGAAATTGCCAGCATAGAGGTAAAGAAACATAAGCAACTTGGAGAACTGGAGCTATTAAATCTCAGTGTTTAGAGTTACACAGGATGCTGACAAAAGTACAGATTCCTAAGCCTTGTCTTCAGAGATTCTGATTCATTAAGCTGGGGTGGAGTCCGGCAATCTCACTTTTTAGAAGGCACCTTGGGTAATTCTGGTACAGGTAATTCTCAGAGCATCCATTGAGAAATACTAATCAAAAGGAATTTCTTCCATAGGCAAGGCTATTACATTATGGTAAATACCATAACTTGCTAATTATGTCTATAATCATTTTTATTTAAAGTATAATGTTGAAAAGCTATCTTAGGCGAACAATGAGTATGTAAACTTACTCTTAACAAAAATAATCTTCATCACCCAGGTAGCGATGAAATAATCTGTACAACAAACCCCATGACATGGGTTTATCTATATAACAAACCTGCACATGTACCCCTGAACTTAGAATAAAAGTTGAACAATAAATTAAAAATTTTAAAGATCATCTAAAAGATAATTTCCATGAGTTTTAAGAAAATGTGTTGATAAAATGGATGAAGAAATTCTGCATCAGATGTAGCCTTCAGTTTCTCTACAGACAAATTATTTCAAGTTGAGTCATTCGAGGTGAGGATGAATTCTGCAACACTCCCCTCAGGGCTGTGGCCTGCCTGTGTGAACTGAGTTGAGGATATATGGAGAGCTAGGGCCTTGGAGAGAGGGAAGTAGCTGAATAAAAAGTGGTTTCAATCTGAAACTGAGCAGTTCAACCTGGAGCTTGGCAAAATATGACAGTGTTGCCTAGGGCCAAAACAAAGAGTGAACTCTGGGATAACTTTGGAACTGAAAACCTGATTATTGTGTTGTGAGGAATTCCTAAAATCTGTAGACCTGTTCATTACTGGGCTGCAGTGAATAGCCAGTAGTTTCTTCGCATTGGTCATGTTGCTGTGCTCACTAAGCAGCAATTGCTCAGGGCAGGTGAGAGTGATCATTATTGAGAAAATAAGGTTGGGCCCAAAGAGGGCAAACTCCAGATTACTGCAGCACCTGTGCTGAAACTCACCAGGGGTAAATTGATGAGCTTTCTTTGTGAGAGATGAGAGTGGTGGTGATTTCTGGAGCTTGTAGTCAGGGTGAGTAGCTCGCCTGAGTGTTGTTATGGTGTTATAAGGAGCTTGGTTATTCAACAGTGTAGTTAGTAGTTTTTTTTCGGAAAAAAATTGATTTTAATATCTGAATAAAATAAACAATGCTGAGATTGTTTATCTTGAAAGCTTTTAAATTGGACTCCTTGAGATCTTCATGCTGTTATGAAGATAAAAACCTATTTAGATACTGTTGGTTCATTGATTCTTCTGCCTTATAGTAACTGCAGAACATTTACTAAGAAATAAAAATTAAGGTTATATATGCCATCAATTATTTCTAAGGTAACGTGCCTCAGCTTTATTAATGCAACTGTTTTTCCTAATGTTTAGATTCAAATCAACTAAAGTAAATCTTCCTACATAGCATTCATTCCTAAAATAATAGGCTTTTAAGTAGCAGGTGCTTTTGTTTGAGTTTTCCCTAGATCCTTTCTATCACCTGAAAGCCTTTTGCCTTATTACCACAGGCTCATTTTATTTAGACATTTGCCTCAAGGAGCTGAGATTTTTTTATACCTTCATACTTAATTGCCCCAAGACACTTAAACATGTAATTTCTTGTTATAAAAGCATTACATATTTACTGTAGAGTATTTGAAAATTATAGAAATGTATAATAAAAAAAGTCATCCATAATTCCATTACTCAGTTATAACTACCAGTACAACATCACCTACTAATCTTCCTTTCAAGCTCTTTCTCTGTGTATGTGTATAAACACAAATGGATAACATACTCTCAAATTACATGTGGTCGTAGGTAGTTTTTCCACTTAACATCAGTTCATTGACATATTTCCATATTATTATTCTTCAAAAACTTGATTTTACTGACTATCGTATTTATGCTTTACCAATATTTAAGATTATTTTCAACTTGTTGTAATGTTAATCCTCCTTGTGCAGAAATATTTTAATTCAACTCTGATTTCCTTAACACAAATTGAGAAAAGACTGGAGTTACTGACTAAAGGCAGTGACATCTATAGGGATCTTGACACATTTTTGCCAAACTGCCCTCTGGAAACCTAACTTGTTTGCATGCCCATTAGCACAGCATCAGCACCTGTTTCACCACATCTCCAAGAGGGAATGTAAACTTTAAAACACACAATAGTGAAAAGGGATGTCTCATTGCTTGTATGCCCTTTTCTTTTATTACTACTGAGACTGGACATGTTTCTCATAGTAGTTGACCTATAATCTTAAGAGAACGTATTTTTTAGCAAAATTGTTTAAGACCAACTATGACAAATTACAACTTACCTCTATTGCATCCATGTCTTCAGAATTGTACTAATTCTCAGCATCCCAGAGTCCATCAAGGGAATTTCTTCTTCTTCTTTTTTCTTTTTTTGAGACAGAGTCTCGCTCTGTCATTCAGGCTGGAGTGCAGTGGCACAATCTCGGCTCACGGCAACCTCCGCCTCACAGGTTCAAGCAATTCTCGTGCCTCAGCCTCCTGAGTAGCCGAGACTACAGGTGTGAGTCACCACGTCTGGCTAATTTTTGTATTTTTTTTTTTTTTAGTAGTGATTCACCATGTTGGCCAGGCTGGTCTCAAACTCCTGACCACAGGTGATCCACCCACTTCAGCCTTCCAAAGTGCTGGGATTACAGGCATGAGCCACTGTGCCTGGCCCTGGCTAATTTCTGTATTTTTAGTAGAGACTGGGTTTCACCATGTTAACCAGGCTGGTCTTGAACTCCTGACCTCAAGTGATCCACCTGCCTTGGCTTTCCAAAATGCTGGGATTACAGGCATGAGCCACCAAACCTGGCCTATTAAGGGAATGTCTTTTAATAAAGGAAACTTTATTATGATAATAAAAGAGCCTGGGCTTCTGTGTAGGAGCAATGCCAGGCTTTGCAGTTTAGCCTTCTGTAACCCTGAAGAAGTTACTTAACCTTGCTATGCTTCAGCTTAACTGTAAAACAGGGTTGATAATACTCACAGTAATTCTCATGAGATAGGAATTTTTCAAGCTTTTTCAGTAAGAGGTAGCTACTATTAAACATGAGAACTGTTTCTCTCCTAATTATAAGAAAGCCCCAAAAGATATAATCAAGGTATGATAGCATAACACTCCTAGAAGCCAGAACTTTTCAAGTCTCAACAAGTTGCATGTTTCACTTCAATAGTCAACCTTTTACTCGGCAAAGGAGCAGCATAGATAGTGGGACTTTTTTTTTTTTTTTTTTCTTTTTTGAGACGGAGTTTCGCTCTTGTTACCCAGACTGGAGTGCAATGGCGCGATCTCGGCTCACCATAACCTCCACCTCCTGGGTGCAAGCAATTCTCCCGCCTCAGCCTCCCGCGTAGCTGGGACTACAGGGGTGCGCCACCATGCCCAGCTAATTTTTGTATTTTTAGTAGAGACGGGGTTTCACCATGTTGACCAGGATGGTCTCGATCTCTTGACCTCATGATTCACCCACCTCAGCCTCCCAAAGTGCTGGGATTATAGGCGTGAGCCACCATGCCTGGCCAGTGGGACTTTTTTTGTAATGGGGTGTGAGGGAGTTGGCAGTGAGATGGCTTATGCTACTAGCCTAAGATGACCTCAGAGTCTTGCAGGACACACAGTGCTTGCTGGTCTGAGGCCAGGCACAGTGGCTCACACCTGTAGTCCCAGCACTTTGGGAGGCCAAGGTAGGAGGATCACTTGGCCCAAGAGTTTGAGGTTAGTCTGGTCAACATGGTAAAACTCCATCTCTACAAAAAATATAAAAATTAGCCTAGTGTGGTGGCATGCAGCTGTAGTCCCAGATACTTAGGAGGCTGAGGTGGGAGAATGACTTGAGCCAGGGAGGTCAGGGCTGCAATGCGCTGTGTTCACACCACTGCACTCTAGCCTAGGTGACAGAGTGAGACCCTGTCTCCGGGGGGAAAAAAGAAGATGCTAGCTGGTCTGGTGCTTAGTACTTTAGAAAGTTGCCCTGGAACTGATAAGTCTTCATCCATTTCTTTTCCCTTCTTCCCACAGGGTGAAACAAAGCACTACTTCAATATTGCTGCTAAGCCTTTGTGATAATTATAAGGTCATTACAAGAATTTGGCTTGCCTTTAGCATTGTGCTTGTGTGTCCATCTGCCTGTCTCTCTAGAGATTTAGATTTTCATTCAAAGATTTTTCTGTCACCGAGAATTAATTCTTGGTATATTTTTGAGAGTATAAATATTTTTTTCAAGATTTGAAACAATAAGCCTCAAATTTTAGATTATATCTGGAGTCTTCCACACTGAGAATGTGATTATGACACATACTAGCTGTTCACCAGGCTGACCAGGTTGACTGTCAGATGGGTTGTTAGTAGTGCCAGAGGCACCCTGACATCACTCTCTGAACTGCTTTCTCTTTCACATTCTTGTGTTTTTCCAGCCATCGGCCCAGAGGTGGGTGCCAATTCCACCAGCAGCTGCAACTGAAAAGCAAGGTTCAGAAATGTCAGATATCCTACGGGAGCTGCTCTGTGTCTCTGAGAAGGCTGCTAACATTGCCCGGGCGTGCAGGCAGCAGGAAGCCCTATTCCAGCTGCTGATCGAAGAAAAGAAAGAGGGAGAAAAGAACAAGAAGTTTGCAGTTGATTTCAAGACGCTGGCTGATGTACTGGTACAGGAAGTTATAAAACAGAATATGGAGAACAAGGTAAGAAAGGTCACAGCCAAGGTAACTGCAAAACAGTTGCACCTGTGTCTTTCCCATCATAGACTGCATGCCTTTTGCTCCCCTCACTCCTGTCAGAATACTAGCACCTTGAATTCAAGTAAACATCTTGGATTTTTTTCCTCCTTGTTATGATTACAATATTGATAAAATGTTCATTGCAGGAAATTTTTAAAATACAAAAAATCAAATAAGAAAATAAAAATAAAAATTGAGTCATACCTTGTGGATCTCATCGTTTATCTAATGGTTGCTTCAGTTATGAGATTGTAGCTGGAGACTTAAAGTCTCCTTTATTCTAGTAGAAAAATATTGTTCTTTGTTATAAACACATAAAGATGTTTATATGTTAATGTAACAATGATTGTGACTCTAACTTTCTGGAGCTGACTAGAGAAAGACAATGTACTAATAAGTAGAAATAATAATACTAGCAGCATAAATAAATGCTGTGTGCCAGCAACTATTCTGAGGTCTTTAGATATATTAACTTATTTAACTTTTATAACAATTTGATGAAGTTAGAACTACTATTACAATATAATGGGTGAAAAAAAGGGAGGCACAGAAAGGTTAAGTAACTTGCCTAAGGTTGCACAGCAAGTAAATGGTAGGGCCAGTTTTTAAACACAGGCCGACTGACTCCAGGTTCTGTGTTCTTTCCAATACTATATTGCCTTTTATATGATAATCTAACCATTACATTTGAGAGAATAGAACTTTATGGCAGAAAGCATTATAAAATATTGGAATAATTTCTATGAAATTCTCAAAATATTGAGAATCATTTAGAATTGTTTGAGTGAAATCTTGACCACAAGCGAACAGACTAAATGCCGTCATGAAATCTCTACAAGCTGTACTTTTTCATGTCATATAACATCTAGCTCTGAGAAACTAAAGGAAACAAGTTTATTTTTGTTTTTTAACTTATCAACATAGTTGGGTGCAAGGGGTGGTTGAGCAACTGGGTTAAAAATGTATCAACATTAATTTCTATGAGCTAATATTTGCCTCAAAGTGTTATAAAAAGTTCAAGCAGTGGTTTATTCATGAGCTAAAATAAATGATATTCCATTTTGACTGTATAAAATATCTTTATTTCATGAGCCTTATGTCCTGTAGTCTCAGAGCAGGTCTTTAAGCAGGCTCGGGAGGCTGATTTTCAGTCCCTGATGAATGGGCTGGCTGCCAGCCCTTGTTGATTTGTACTGTCCCACAAATTAATATGAATAGCAAGTGGTTGTAGGCATTATGAAAGCTATTGGTCATCTGCAAATGACTGAGTCCAAATATTTGAAGCATGTCCTAGCTTTTGTTCCCTGAGAACATCATGTGTATCAAAATGTAACATATATTTCCAGAAAAATTATCTTTACCACAAAGAGGATCAGAAGCAAAATGTATCAGAAAGCTTCGTGATCATACAGAGATGACAGAAGATTCTTACTTGTCTCCATTTATTCACTCTGTATATTGATGCTTAAATTGTTGTTCCATAAAATCTCTTTTTTTTCATATCCCATTCCTAGACTGAATGATGATACATCAGAGAATGGGGAAACAAATACCTGAAAAAGAAAACAAAATCGAATGTTATCCTCTAAGCCCTTCTATCCAGTCTCAAGTCATGCTTCTACATACTTGATCAACAAAATTACCTTGTATGAGCTACTAGGATGCTGTTTAAGAGCAACAGTTAAAACGTGTCCTTTGCAAATATTCAAATTCTATGGCCCTTAAGTAGAAGGATGTAGTTTCTAGAAGTACTTTTGTAAACTAAACAGGACATAAGGGAACCAGGCCATCTACCATGATTTTGACTTTCTAGAGGGGCAAAAGAGCAGAAAAATATTAGAAAATTAGGCACGGAGGCAAGCAGACTTCATTTTTTATACTTGGATTGGCTTCTGGAATTGGAAATTTTGGAATTTCAGTTCTAATTGTGTTATTTAATTTGAAATGTAAAATTGAAATCTGTTCAGAATTGAACATGTGCGTGGGTTTTTGTTTTCTTTTTCATCATATTCTGAATCATTCAGTTTCCAGGCTTGGAAAAAAATATTTTTGGCGAAGAATCCAATGAGTTTACTAATAACTTGGGTAAGTATAAGAATCTTAATGTGTCTTTGTAACTTAATTATCATATGGTATTGTAATCTCCAATTTATGCTATAAACTAAATGGAAGCCTCTTACTATAAACATAATATATTTGAATGTTAAGGTTCATTCCATTTCTACTTCAGAATATCATGCCATTTAACTTAAGTAGAGAGATGTAGTATATTAGAATAATTTAGCAAGTCCATGTGTCATTTTAGATATAAATCTGTGGCATTTAAGTAATTTATAACTCAAGCTTTGGGAAAATAGCGGCCCTTTGGGAATCCAGTATAAGTTATCAATGCCCCAAAGATGCCCATCAACACAATTGTTCAGACAATTTCAGATCCTGGGTTAAACCCATCTGTGGACTCTCAGGGAAGTCCATGGACTTTGGCTAAAGGTGCAGAGAAGGCCATGGCTCTGAAATACTGTGTGATCTTGAGCAAATCACCTCATCATTTCTCTGAATCTTGGAACCTCCATGAAGTACTTGAACTAACCAAAAGCTTCCTTTTAATACTCAGTTTTATTTTGTTTGTTTGTTTGAGATGAGTTGCTATGTTGCCCAGGCTGGAGTGCAATGGTGCAATCTCGGCTCATTGCAACCTCCACCTCCTGGGTTCAAGCGATTCTCCTGCCTCGGCCTCTGGTGTAGCTGGGATTATGGGCACGTGCCAGCACGCCCACCTAATTTTTGTATTCTTATTTAGAGATGGGGTTTCACCATGTTGGCCAGGCTGGTCTCAAACTCCTGACCTCAGGTGATCTGCCCACCTCAGCCTCCTAAAGTGCTGAGATTAGTATCAAGTTTTAAGTCTTGTTTATTAAGTTTCCTGTGGGCCAGATTCACCTTGGATGGCCCTCCACATTCCCTTGGGGTATACAGGAAAATATCACAATCTCTGATATCTTTCAGAGAAATGATTTTTTTAGTTTTTTTGGATTTGTTTGTTTAATGGTAGAAGAGTAATATAGTGAACTTTAAACACTGATCATGTGACAAATACTTAAATATTTAGAAGCACATTTACAAGGAAAAAAATGAATTTCTAGATTAACTCTGAAAATTTTTTGTCTCCTTCATGCAGCACGTATTAAGATGTTCTATGATAGTAGGAAGGAAAAGAAACCTCATTTAAACCTCTGAAGGTTAAAAATAACACTTATGACTGACTTATAAGCAATCTGACATTTAAAAATCTGCACTTGACTACTTCATAAACAGTTATTTTAATACATCATTTGTCTACAATTATAGGGGCAAAAGGCATAGCCACATCAATATTCCTGTTTGTTAAAAGGGCAGAGAATGTGGAGAGGAGAAGAGGAGAGATGGTGATGATGATATTGCAGGCAGGGTCAGATCATAGGAGGGGCTTAGAGTTCCCTCTCGGTGGGATGGGACATCTCTGGCAAATTTTAAGCAAAGGAGTGACATGATATAATTTGTTCCTTTGAATGATCTCATAAGTTTTCCTGAGCCCAGAGTAGTGTGTAGTAAGTAGCCATTACCAGCTTTACTATTCCCCAACTGCAACAGTCTAATTTACTTTGAATTAAGTTAACTAAATTTGACTGTTTCTTGCTGATTTGGTCATCACTGTAATAGATGTATATTGTGCTTCCCACACTTTACTGGTCCTGTAATCACCACAAGATCTTGTTGAAATTCAGTAGGTCTGGTGTGGCATTTGAGATTCTGATTTTTTTTTTTTTTTTAAGATGAAGTCTCCCTCTGTTGCCCAGGCTGGAGTGCAATGGCACAATCTCAGCTCACTGCAGCCTCTGCCTCCCAAGTTCAAGTGATTCTCCTGCTTCAGCCTCCCAAGTAGCTGGGATTACAGGCATGTGCCACCATGCCCAGCTAATTTTTTCATATTTTTAGTAGAGATGGGGGTTTCCCTGTGTTAACCAGGCTGGGCTCGAACTCCTGATCTCAAGTGATCTGCCTACCTTGGCCTCCCAAAGTGCTGGGATTACAGGCATAAGCCACCATGCTCAGCATGAGGTTCTGACTTTCTAGGAAGCTCCCAGCTGCTTTAGATACTGCTGGTCCTTGGAATAAGCAGGGTAGAAGTAGCTAACTAGATAGCTGGAGGATTTGTCTGTACACCTAAAAAGTTCCAAAGTGCCATGTTTTCTTAATTTCTAATAGTTTTTCTCTCCACTGCTGTCACTTCTTGTTGCTACTAATTTTCCTATTTCTACCAGCCTCTTCCCTCACTTTTGTCAAGTACTGAAACCAGATTAATCAAGGCTCTAAGATGCATGTTTAAAGTGATGGTAAGGCACCTGGCCTCGGTAACTTCTCGTTTCATTGTAGGAAGCAGCTTCGCTTATGTCCTGGTTTTCGATGGGCTCCACAGAGGAGAGCTATTCATGAATGGCATTTAGAGGCATACAGGTTTACCACATTTAAAGATTAGGATATACCAGCTTATGTTACCTAGCATAAACAATGTTCGGTTAAAAGCAGCATCATATAAAGAAACAGAAGCACTTCAGTGTGCTAAAAACCTCTATTATTTTCAATAACATATTCAGACATGGACAGGGTGACTTAAGTACATAAAAAGTCAAAAGACAAATACATTTTTATAAGATTAATGATCAGAAATTCAGGAATTATTAACTGGCCTATGTATCCCTTAACTGGGATACAAAATTGTGCCCATGTGGGCATTTTTCTGGGGAGATCTTTGGATTCCTGAAACCCATCCCTTACTATTCATTCACATTAAGTGAGCGAGTGGCCATTGGGCATCTGGCTTGATGAAGCCCTGCCAGGTGATTCTGGCAGTCAGCCAGGCTTAGGAACTGCTGAGATGGATATATAGCGCTCACTTAATCTAAGCGCACAGGTTTTGATTTGCTCTCTTGCTCCCTCTCTGTCTCTTTCTCTCTCTCTTTCTCTCACTCTCCCTCTCGCTCTCTTTCTGTTCTTTCTCCACTGAAACTCTTGAAATGTAATGGCTTATAGTTTGTCTTTACCCTAGGGGAAAAGATTATCTTGAGGCTGTGTTCAACAGAGGAAGAAACAGCAGAGCTTCTTAGCCAAGTCCTCAATGGTAACAAGGTGGCATCTGAAGCATTAGCCAAGGTTGTTCATCAGGATGTTGCCTTTACTGACCCAACTCTGGATTCGACAGAGATCAATGTTCCACAGGACATTTTGGGAATTTGGGTGGACCCCATAGGTAAGTATAGGAGAGTGTGTTTGTTCTTATTTGCAATCTTTTTTTTGGGGTGTGGGGGAGCTTTGAAAAATAAAAATTATTGAGAATAGTTTAACTCTCCTAGAAGTTTTTAAATTTTTAAATTTTTAAAATAATGAGAGTTGAGGCGTATGTGTCATGTGTTCTGCATATATACATATATATTATGGCTGTGTATGTACATATATCTATAACAGGTGTGTGTATACACACACATATAGATACAGGCACACATACAAAGATGAATTAACTTATCTTCAAAAGACTTCAGGGACCAGACTGGTTAGTGAATGAGAGAATGAAATGACAGCAGTTATGACCTATTGAGCACTGATGCCATTTAAAGAGCACTTAGTTCCAGTAGATTGTTGCCATATGACAATATAGGCCAGCTCTTCAGATTTTTAAAAAGAAACCAAAATCCAAGGTTTTAAGTGTGATATCCCAATTTCTAAACATTGGCTACCAATTCAGCTAAACAAGCAAACAATCAAAAAAACGCTGTACAGATCAAGCAAAAAGCTGAATGTGATGCATGAGCAGTCAGTTTGTGAGCCCTGCATAAGCTCTACATTTTTGGGGGTCATTATTGTAATAGGACCATAATCTATAACCCATTGTTTTCAAAATGTAACCCTTCTCTTTTTTTTTGAGACAGAGTCTCTTGTCGCACAGGCTGGAGTGCAGCGGCACAGTCAGAACTCACTGTAGCCTTATCCTCCCAAGCTCAGGAGATCCTCCTATTTCAGCCTCCCAAGTAGCTGGGACCCAACTAGGTGGCACAGGTGCATGCCACCTCACTAGGCTAATTTTTATATTTTTTGTAGAGAGGGGTTTTGCCATGTTGCCCAGGCTGGTCTCAAACTCCTGGGTTCAAACAATCTTCCTGCCTCGGCACCCCAAAGTGGTAGGATTATAGGCACGACCCACCACACCCAGCCAACCTTTATCTTCAATGATGCTATTAATACAGAGTTCTAGGTAATAATTTTAAGAAGCTCCCCCTTCCTTTTTTTTTCTTTCCCAACCAACACAATAGGACCATTCAAGAAGTGGCTAAACTCCTTCCTGGGCCCTTCCTGTCCTACAAGTGCATTAACAGGATGATATTGAAATGGGTTTAATCTTCAGATAATTGCATCACATTCAGCCAGTGGGTTATATAGGGAAACTAAAAACCTTTCCCTAAATCTTTGATCATTTAAGGGTAAGTTGGCATCAGTTATGGTTTCTGAGAGACAGAGATCTCCTGTTTCTTGGTTCCAACCTGAATTGATTCTGTTTTTGAGCTCTTTGAATCTTTTGCCAGGCACATCCTTAGCTGTTTGTTAACTCCCTAGACATCGGCAGTCAGCTGCTGGCATGTACATCTCTTGAGGGGAAACCTAGTTCCTCTGCCTGTGTTTCACAGGAGCACTGTTAATTTCTTCCTTTGGTGCCACCATCATTGTCTCTTTCTTCCTTCTCACTTGAGGGACCAAATAATAATACTAAAAGATAACTTTACCTGTGACTGATTACTGGAAGGAGACTTTTTTTCTTTTTATTAAATGTTTGTGGGTACATAGTAGGGGTATATATTTATGGGGTACCTGAGATTTTTTGATACAGGCACATAATGTGAAATAAGCATATCATGGAGAATGAGGTATCCATCCCTTTGAGCATTTATCAATTGAGTAATAAACAATCTAGCTACACTCTTTATTTTAAAATGTACAGTTAAGTTCTTATTGATTATAGTTACCCTACTGTGCTATCAAATAGTAGGTCTCTTTTTTTGTACCCATTGGAAGGAGACTTTTCCATCTCACATTGTACTAGTCCTCAGATTAGCAGTAGTTCTAAAATAATCCCAGCAGTTATTCCAGTTATTAGTTTTTAATTGCTTTTGGCAAGTCACAAATATCTGAATGCCTGTTCTATGCAAGGCGCTATGCCACAGAAACTATAGACACATCCTCTCCCTTCAAGAGTTCTCACATAGTCAGGAAAACGAAACGTAAGCAATTTAAAAGTGAAGTGCCAGAGGCCAAGTAACAATTCAATAGTGACGTCCAAAAGTAGAAAATATTGGTTACCAAATTAGTAGAAGATAGAAATGATATGGAATGGGGTCTTCTAAATAATCTTTATCTGAATCTAAACACATTTACTTCCTTTTTCAGATTCAACTTACCAGTACATAAAAGGCTCTACTGACATTAAATCTAACCAGGGAATCTTCCCCTGTGGACTTCAGTGTGTCACCATTTTAATTGGTGTCTATGACATACAGACAGGGGTTCCCCTGATGGGAGTCATCAATCAACCTTTTGTGTCAAGAGACCCAAACACCCTCAGGTAAAAGACAAACATTTTTGATAAATTATGGTTTTTAGAACTTATGACCTCAGCTTTGCTTATTGTTAGGATTATCACTACATGACATTCCCATGACTTCACACATGGGAGTGTTCCCATTGAAAGTCTGCATGTTTGACTTAAAGTTCTATTTTCAATCTTGGATTTGCATAATTTTATTTGAGGTCATGTGCATGCTGGTAGAAATTTTTAAATTAATACTTTCCTGGAGAAGTCATCGTTTTACATTTGGGATATAGTAATCCTGTTCCTTGTTTCTGGAGCCCACTCCAAACCAGATGAGTAGAATGGTGGTAACGTTCTTCCAATACATTGAGAATAAGACAGCTGCCATCACTGTATAGCCAGTTGAACTTTTGTATAATTTTAGAAGTTCAAAACAAAATGTGAAAATTATCCAATGAAAAGATTGGTAGGCATGGCCAGGATCAGAACCTAACTTACACTCCCTTTCTGCTTCCTCCTTCCCACCCTTCCATGCACTCTTAAACAGAGCATAGATAGTGGCCAGGACCCAGTTGCCTCTGATGCATGGCCTGTGCTTTGGGGTTCATTCCAGGGCATGGCAAAGTCCAAGTGGAACAAGCAGCTTCAGCTTTTCATTGAAATAGGTCATATTTTTCTACTTACACAGGATTACATATTCTTATTGAACCTTGAGTTGCTTCAAGTAAGAATCATTTGCTCTTTAATAGTTGTGTTTATACCTCTTAAATTTTAATATTATCCCTCTACCTCTGCCATCTTCCAAACTAAAAATGGGTTTCTGTTATCTTTAAAAGGTTAATAAGAAATTAAAAAGAATTGGAACAATATGTACACAGAATCATGGCCTAGAAATGGAGGTGGTCAACACAATAGCTAATGGCACAGGTTCTGAGTGAGACTTCGAGGTTTGAATGCAGATTCTACCACTGTCTAGCTGAGCAGGCCTCAGCAAGTTACTTCCTCTAAGCCTGTTTCCTTATCTGTAAATATGTAACAACATAGACAGTAAGTTAAACATTAATAAAGGGAAGGTGCTATAATTATCATTATTGCCAAAACTAATAACATTGAGTTCATCTTTCTTTGTCTTAGAGGCCAAAGTGAAACTAGTGAAAAAGAGAATGAAAAGGGGTTACCAAATAAAGAAAACCTTGTTATAAGGATTGTAAAATATTTGTGGATCAGAAAGAGATATCATTTACCTATTCCTTTTTCCCTATTAAACTTTAAATACTAAAAGTTGCAGTGAAATTTTGCAATGATTCTGGAGGCTGGAAACCTCATCGCTGTTTTAGTGTGGTCCTAGATTGATGTGATAATACCATAAAACAAAAGCATTTCTAATTGCGGCAACTCAAGCAGCTGCATGCATGTAAGTAACTTTCAGAAATAAACTAGCTACCCGATATCTATTTCTAGGCTTAAAGGTATTAAGATTCACTATGTTATGATGAATTGTGTTATTTCTTCATATCATTAAGTTTGAAAGAGACATGAGTAATGAAAAACAAATGTCATCATCACCAATTGATTTTTTTCTTCTGCAGGTGGAAAGGACAGTGCTACTGGGGCCTTTCTTACATGGGGACCAACATGCACTCACTTCAGCTCACCGTCTCTAGAAGAAACAGCAGTGAAACACACACTGAAAACACTGGCTCCGGGGCAGCATTCTGCCCCAGTTTTTCAGCCGTCATTAGCACAAGTGAAAAGGAGACTATCAAAGCTGCATTGTCACGTGTATGTGGAGATCGCATATTTGGGGCAGCCGGGGCTGGTTATAAGAGCCTTTGTGTTGTCCAAGGCCTCGTTGACGTTTACATCTTTTCAGAAGATACCACGTTCAAGTGGGACTCTTGTGCTGCTCATGCCATACTGCGGGCCATGGGTGGGGGAATAGTAGACTTGAAAGAATGCTTAGAAAGAAATCCAGAAACAGGGCTTGATTTACCACAGTTGGTGTACCACGTGGAAAATGAGGGTGCTGCTGGGGTGGATCGGTGGGCCAACAAGGGAGGACTCATTGCATACAGATCCAGGAAGCGGCTGGAGACATTCCTGAGCCTCCTGGTCCAAAACCTGGCACCTGCAGAGATGCAGACATAGAGGAACTCTAACCCCAGTATACATATATAGAGCCGAACTGTGAAACTATTTCCCATTATCTCTCTTTTGAGGATGGCTTTATCCTGTTGCTGGTTAACATTCACCTTCCTCTTTTGAGGAGCATTTTTCCATTTTGTATTCATAATAATGTTAATTTCAATAAATGACATTCATGCAGCAATTATATTGGTGTATGAAATTCTTGCAGTGAATATTGTGCTGTTAGTGCTACTTGAAACCCTTCAATAAAATATGGATGAATGAGGGAAAAATTCTGTTCAATTAGTAAAACCATGCTGAACATCTAAGCAATAGAAATTTCTCTGAAATACAAAGGAGAATACAGGAGGGGTTTGCCTGAGTTTTGTTTCCTTTCAAAGGGAAAACTCTGCAATTTTAGCCTGTTGGCAGAACATTTAGAACTGTGAATTTGCTTAAGTTAGCCAAGTTTATGTACTTTCATCAGTATTCTTGTGTTTCTTATAGGAAGTAAATCCTGGAACACTGTGGACTCCCCCTTTGCAGAGACAGGGAGGGAGAGACAGAGACACACACATAGTGAAAGACACAGACAAACAGAAAGAGAGACACACAGACACACACACAGGTAGAAGGGGACGACCAGTAAACAGGTTTCTGAAATTTTTGCATATTTACTACACTTTACCAGAAACCAGAGGTGGACTTTAGATATATATAACCCTTGTCTACCAGCACCACACAGTGAATGTTCCCTGAAGTGGACACAAACCACTTTTTCTATTCTCTGTGGCAGCTGCAGTACTCAGAGACTGCCAATTGCAAGGATCAAATCCTCAGCTCTGACTTCGTTCTGCCCTGCGCCCCCTGGGGGCCAAAGATGTTTCTACAGATCCTCTATTTTTCTACAATTACAAATGCATGAAAATAACAACCTTTTTTTCTAATGTCCTTACGCTTAAAATTTTTTTGACAAATTATGTTTATGTCCTATGATATGATGCTTTGAAATATGTATACATTGCAGAATGGCTAAATCAAACTAACATTACCTCACATTTTGTGTGTGTGCTGTGAGAACACTTAAAATCTGTTAGCAATTTTCAGTTAAACAATGTATTATTAACTACAGTCACCACATTATAGTTGTATGACAGATCTTTTGAACTTATTATTCCTGTGTAACTGAAATTTTGTATCCTTTGACCAACATTTCCCAAACCTTCCAGCCCCTGATAACCACCATTCTACTCCCTGCTTCTGTGAGTTTGACTTTTTCAGTTTCCACATATAAGTGAAACTGTGTGGTATTTGTCTTTCTGTGCCTGGCTTATTTTACTTAACAGTGTCCTTCAGGGTCATCCAAATGACAGGATTTCCTTTTTTATGGCAGCATAGTATCCACTGTGTATATAAATACCACATTTTCTTTATCCACTTATTCATATCTTGGTTGATTTCATATCTTGACTATTGTCAATAACATCAAAATGGACATGGGAGTGCAGGTATCTCTTTAACATACTGATTTATTTTTCCTTTCCTTTTTTTTTTTTTTTCCTCAAGACAGCATCTCACTCTGTCTCCCAAGCTGGAGTGCAGTGGCACAATCATGGCTCACTGCAGCCCCAACCTCCTGGGCTCAAGTGATCCTCCCATCTGAGCCTCCCAAGCAGCTGGGATTATAGGTGAATGCCACCACACCCAACTAATTTTTGTATTTTAGTAGAGATGGGGTTTTTCCATGCTTCCTAGGCTGGTCTCGAACTCCTGGGACTCAAATCTCTCAATTGGAGGGGAAAAAGCTGGATGGAAGAGGAGGGAATCAATATGTTCTGTGAACATCTGTTATGTATATTCACCATCCATTCTTGCAGAAAAACCAAAGCCCTTTCTTTAAGCATGTACCTCTGATAGGTCTGCATTGTTTTTCTGGCAGAAGCCACAACCAGGTGAGTATGATTTCTAGTTTTAATTTCTGTAGAGGAAGAACTTAAAAATATTTGCAAAGCTACCTGAAGATCTAATCATTATGGATTTTTATAATTTTTCCTCTATTTTTACAGCATTTTTGTTTGTTCATTTGTTTTCGAGATGGAGTCTTGCTCTGTCACCCAGGCTGGAGTGCAATGGTGCAATCTCGGCTCCCTGCAACTTCTACCTCCTGGGTCCAAACGATTCTCCTGCCTCAGTCTCCTGAGTAGCTGGTATAACAGGTGAGTGCCACCATGCCCGGCTAATTTTTGTATTTTTAGTAGACACAGGGTTTCACCACGTTGGTCAGGCTGGTCTCAAGTACTTGACCTCAGGTGATCCACCCACCTCAACCTCCCGAAGTGCTGGGATTACAGGCGTGAGCCACCTCGCCTGGCCATAGTTTTCTTATCAACTAAGTTTTTGATTTACCTTTACCCACACTTACCAAAGCCTGCAATTCTTTGTTTTCAAACTCACACTCCATTACTTTATATTAATTAAATTAATCAATTTAATTATTAGAAACTAAATTGGAATATAGAGTTGTGGAAAGAAGTAAACAATTCTTGGTACACAAACAACTCATTTGATGTGAACAGGATTTGGAGGTAGTGATGGAGGGGTGTTCTATAGAGGAGCCTCATGGCGATCAAAGTCAAGTGTCTTTTGCATCAGTCTGTGTTTTACAGGAGGATAAATAGAGAGACTAGTCTGACAGGTCACGTAGACACCGAGTAGTACAAAGACAGCTTCGACTGCACATAAGAAGAGCAGTCTTTGGGAATCCAAGTCAACATCCCTTCCTTTCTTGCTCTCACAACCTATATGCAATCACTCAGAAACTCTCACATCTCCACTTTCAAAAATACATCTAGAGTTTAACCATTCCACAACACTCTCCTATATCCCACCCTGCTCCGGGGCATTTTTATGCCTCACCTGGACTATTGCGATAAACTTCTAACTTGCCTCCATACTGTTCATTCTTAGCACAGAAGCCAGAGTGATCTTCTTCAAACACAAATCAGATCATGACTCCCTTCTGTTCAAAATTCTCCAAACCACAACAAGATACCATCTTACACCAGTCAGAATAGCCATTATTAAAAAGTTAAAAAAAAAACAACAACAAAAAACTGATGTTGGCGAGGATGTGGAGAAGAAGGAATGCCTGTACCCTGATGATGGGAAAGTTAATGAGTGCAACCTCCATCGAAAAGAGTATGGAGAGTTCTCAAGAACTAAAAGTAGAACTACCATTTGATCCAGCAATCCCACTAACGGGCTACCCAAAGGGAAAGAAATAATTATATCAAAAAGACATGTGCACTCACATGTTTATCACAGCGTTAGTCACAATAGCAAGGCAAGGGACCCAACATTTAAGTGTCTATTGACAGATGAATGGAATTTTTTAAAATGCAGTATATACATATTGAATACTACTCAGCCACAAACAAGTAAAATCATGTTTCTTACAGCAACTGGATAGACCTGGAGGCCATTACCCTAAGTGAAATGACTTAGAAACAGAAAGTCAAAACTGTAGGTTCTCACATATGGGTGGGAGCTAAATAATGGGTACACATGGACACACAGTGGAATAATCAACATTGGAGGCTTCAAAAGGAAGCAGTGTGGAAGCAGGTGAGGGATGAGATACCACCTACGGAGTACAATGTACACTGTTTGGGTAATGGGTACACTAAAAGCACAGACTTCACTGCACAATATATCTAAGTAACATAACTGCACGTATACCCCTAAACCTATAAAAATAAAAAGAAATAAATTTAAAAAGGAAAAGCAAAAAATGCTTCCAAATGATTCTTCAACTGTCTTAGGGAAAAAGCAAAAGTCGTCATAGAGCCTAGAAGTCCCACCTTCCACCATTCCTTCTCTTCTCATCTGCTCTTACTCTCTGCTGTGGTCTAAATATTTGTATCCCTCCCCTACCATATCATATGTTGAAATACTAACCCCCAAGGTGATGGTATTCAGAGACAGGGCCTTTGGGAGTTGATCCAGTCCTGAAGGTAGAGCTCTTATGACTAGGATTAGTGCCCTTACAAAAGGGGCCTGGGAGAAACCCCTTGACCCTTTTACCGTGTCAGGGCCAGCAAGAAGGTGCATTCTGTAATCCAGAAAGCAGACCCTTACCAGGCACTGAATCTGCCTAGGTCTGGGGGTTCCCACCCTTCAGAACTGTGAGAAATAAATTTCTGTTATTTAAAAGCTGCCCAGTTCATGATATTTTGTTACAGAATCCCAACGGTCTAAGATGGCCTCTTCCTTGCTCACATTGTTCCAGCCACACTGCGTTGCTTGCTGTGACCTGAACTTGCCAGGCATCCTCCCTCTGCCTCAGGACCTTTGCACTTGCTGTTCTAACTGGAAAGCTTTCTCCAGGTATTAGCACCGTTTCCTCCCTCATCTCCATCAAAACTTTGCTCAAGCGTCACTGTATCAGTACGACCTTCCCTTATCACTCTATTGCAACCCACATTTCCCCACCCCATCCTGCACATCCTATCTCCTTCCCTGTTTTGCCCCCCATGGTACTTACTGCCTCCTCATAGAAGCTACAATTTGATTTGTCAGCCTCCCCCTCTAGAGTGTTGGCTTCACAAAGGCAGCGGTTTTCATATATCATGTATCTTCATTGCCTAGGCACATTGTCAGTGTTAAATAAGTGGGGACTGAATGAAATAGGCTCAGAAGCTGAACAAGAACTAATATGCAGTATCAACTACATCTTTACTTCTACTCATTATTTCCAAAACACTTCAGAAACCTTTGCTACGCTGAGAATTAGTCCTATAGTTGGTCAGTTAAATTCTCAATGTCAAACAACCACTTTAACGTTGAAAGTAAGACATGGACTTTTGTGACATAGAAGAAGAACTGGCTTACTATCAAAGCTAATATTCAAGTCCTGGCTATCAGCCCTATAAAGAGTTAGGAAGGGAAAGTAATGGTTAAGCCACTTTTCTCCCACTCTCATGGAATACAGCAGGAATGAGAGCTTATAATACACAGAATACCAGAAACTGGCCATTTTCTTCCTATAGCAAAAGCTCATCCCTTCCAGCTGGATTTGAGAATGGGTTGCCTGAGAGGCAATGTTTAACTTCACCCACCTTGGGTCAAGTATTTCTAAGAGCAGGAAGCTCTATGTCAAGATGGCTTATCACCCTCAATCTTTCAAACAAGTCAAACTATGACCATAGTGGTGTAAATTATTAGGACAGGTATTGGAGAAACTCATCATGTGGTTAAATTGCCATATGAAGGTAAGCAA